CTGATGGGCTCAGAGGCCAGGCTTCGTGTGGTGGAGGAGGTTTAGTGGTTAACACAAGCTGAATTAGCCGTTAAGATGGGGGCCATCCTTCTGAGTGAGCTGGTGAGGGGGTGGGGAGGGAGGGGCCCTTCCGCTCTGCTTCCTCTCTAGAACTGCATCCCTCTGGCCTCCCTGGTACCCTTCCTCTGGCTTTCACACATCGCTTCTCAGTAGCCGCCTCCCCCCCAGCCTCAGCCCCCCTCCCCACCCCGTGGCTGGGGAGGAGGTCGTGGCTAAAGGGATAACACACCCAGAACTTGCTCTCCTGGCTGCGTCCTGGCCAAGCTTCACTGTTTGTCAAAGCTCACCTACCTGCCCGACACACGTGGTTTTTGATGCCTCATTCCCACGTTTAAGGAGCTGAGAGCCCCTCCTGGCTTGCTGGGGCCCCCGTCTGCCTCTAAACCGCCTGTGTCCAGGGTGGGCACCGTGCCTCTTCCTATTGGCACGGCATTGATTTTCCTCCACGTTGGTTGGTCATCACTGCTCCGGGTAATGTATTGTAATGAGCTTTTGTTCTGCTGGACATGGACCCAAAGGACTTTTTATCATGAAGGGCCCCATCTTGAAGACCTTAATAAATCATTCACTGTGCACAACGGGTCTGCTCTTGGACAGGGAGGGGTCTCTCGTCACTGAGTCACTTTCTTGCAGTCCACCAGGCTGGCACCCTTGACTTTTCCCGGTTGGCCTGTCTGTTCTGACACCTAAATAAGTGACATCTCCCCACTTGACATTAGTGAGAGAAGCGGAGGTCCTTAACCTCAGGGCTCAAAACGCTGACCGCCTGGGTCAAGGTTTCTCAAGATGTTACCCAGAAGCCCCTGAGAGCTAGTTAAAATGCTGATTCTTGGCCCTACCCTAGATCTATGCGTGAAAATCTTTGGAGATGGGGCCCTGGAATCTACATTTTTTTAACAATCCCCTGAGGAGATTCTTATGAACATCAAAATTAGACAGCAACTGCCCAAACCCTTTATCACTTTAGCATCCCATGTTTATTTCTTGTGTTCCTTTTGAAGTGTGTGGAATGGACACATCTTTCCTCTCCTGCGTACTGGCCTGTGCTGTGCTTCCAGCTACACCCGAACTTCCGCAGTTCACTGGAGGGAGCCTGGGGGTAGGGAGTAGAGAGTAGGTCCACGTCCAAGTCAGCTGGGGATTTTCCTCAGAGCTTTCCAGAAGCATGACACGCACATCTGGATTACGGCTGCCGTGGAATAAGGGCCCCTTGCTGCAATCCAGCTCAGCGTTGAGGGTGGAGTCCAGGGCTTGGAGCAGCTGTGGGAAGAGCCAGGCATAATCAGACAAAGCAAGCAGGGCCTTGAAGAGACTTCTCCACTTCCCTAGAGAAATGGGCAGGATGTCCAGGCTGGCCCGGGTTGGGGGCCTGGGAGCTCAGCCCCCTGGGCTGCCTGTACCTTGTGTTTCCCCTTCTCAGCACCCACAGCTCCATCCAGGCAGGTCCCTCCCTCTATCTCCTGCTCCCTCCCACTGGGTGTCCAACTCCCTCTCATCTGAGATGTTTTTACCTGAACTGGCTGGGCCCATAGAGGCTGCTGGGACTTCAAGATGGATCTGGTGGCCCCTTAAGAGCCTTGAAGCCATCTCCCCTCACCTCTCGAAGTCCCCTCTCCTCCTCCCCCACTCTGTTTCACTCCCCTTTGCTCTGCCCGCCTCTCTCTTTTGCCCTTCCTGCCTTAATAGATTGAAACCGACATGGTGTTCCGGCTTCTTGCGGTCCTGGTAAATAGCTCTTAGTGTGGACGTGGTTGATGGGGAGAAGGGGATGACAAGCGTGTTGTATGGCGTGAGGGATGTGGGCACTTTCCTTCACGCCTGATGGGAGCAGCAGGTGTTCGTGCCCCTCAGGTGCACTGGGATTTCAGCAGAGCCCTCACGGGGGCTGACAGACCTAGGAGGGGCCTGGGTGTCCTCAGTTTCTCCTCTTGATTTGAAAAGGAAGATGACCCAGTGCAGGTGTAGCACAGCCTGGAGCATGCTGCCAGCACTGGGCATCAGGAGCAGCCGGCCCCTTCTTTGAGATCAGGAACAGGCATTTCCACTTGTACTTGGCAAATGGGATTTAATTAAACAGTTTACACTTCTTCGATTTTCTTACTAAGTCTTAGTTGCCTGGCAGTTATCATCCTGATGTTGTTCTTGTGAACAGTAGCCCACGTCGGGGTAAATGACGTCGTGGCAGAATAAATTTGATATTGGCATTTTCAAAGTCAGTGAAGAGTAAGGCGTGGCCCAGAGGGCCAAGATATCAGGTAGTGGTAATCAGTGTGAATTCTCCCTCCCTGTCTTGGAAGATGTTTTTTTTGTTTTTTTTTTTTTGCGGTACGCGGGCCTCTCACTGTTGTGGCCTCTCCCGTTGCGGAGCACAGGCTCCAGGCGCGCAGGCTCAGCAGCCATGGCTCACGGGCCCAGCCGCTCCGCGGCATGTGGGATCTTCCCGGTCCGGGGCACGAACCCGTGTCCCCTGCATCGGCAGGCGGACTCTCAACCACTGCGCCACCAGGGAAGCCCGGAAGATGCTTTCTTATCTTTCTTGCCAACAGCTTTTCTTTTGTGAACCCTAGTGAGATGCCGGAGTGGGTTTGCTTTCTCCTAGGAAGGAATACTCTCAGGTCTGCTCTGGCTTGCACCCAGTGGTTCTCATTGCCTTCTGAGTATAAATGAGAGGCCATTGGACACTCTACCCTTTGCTTTGCTCCTCCCCGCTGCTTCCCGGCCTATGTGCGCATGGACCTGGGAGATGAGGGGCTTCAGGGGATGGAGGAGATCCCAGGCCCAGGAGAAATACTCTGTCATCTCACTGTGTGGGCTGGAGAGTAGGGCCAGGGCCTAGGAATGGTCCAGCAGCTTTCTGGGTACAGTGAGAAGGAAAGACAGCTCTTCGGACTGCCACTAAATGGTATGAGGGGCCCATCCTCACGGAAACCACCCTCCAAAATCTGAGTGGATGAGAGCCTTCTGTCTGCAATACTTTTTCTCCTCTGGAAACAGCCAGCCAGAGTCTCTTTTTTGTGTGTATAACATGGAGCCCGGTTCTTTGGAAGGACACAGCATGAGGGGCAGCTTCTCATCTACATTTCGGCCCCTTTAGGGATGATGCCATGTGAGTTGGGAGAGGCAGCATGTGTATAACTGCATCTTAGTAGCCTTTTGGGGTCCCGGAACAAGGGGCAGGTTTTCGGAGAATCAGACCTTTCTCAGCCAAAACCCTTTTCCAGTTCAGACCAGCGCCATCCCTGTGAGCCCTGGGCTGCGGCAACACTCTGGCCCAGTGTCACTTGGGGCCTGCTGCTGGCTGAGACCCCAAAGCCCCAGGGAAAACTGGGCGCAGAGAGATGGTTCTGGAGAGTTAAGTGAATGGGCAGAGCCTCCAGCCCCCAGGGGGTGTATGTGGACGATGTGCCTTGTCGGGCATGTCGGTGCTAGTGCTTGGGTGACGTCATTTGGTTGGCCTGTGGTTTGTTGTGTGTGTGTGTTGATCAGGATGTTCCTGTTTTGCGGTTGTCTGATCACTTGTTTTTGGCCGTGGACTTCTGTATGAGTGTTTATTTTTAGAGGCTGCCACTTCTGGCCTGAGGGCTGATCCTTGGGCATGGTAGGAGCTTGTATTTTCTGAAATGTTTGTGGCTTTAAATTTCAGTATTTATTTTGGGGTATTGCTACTTTCTATGTGTTTATTCTGTGTGTGTGTGTGTGTGTGATATGACAGTGTAGAATAATAAAAAATTGTGTGGTCTTTGAAGTTCTGCTTTAGCTTTGATTTTAATTTAGTTTTCAAAAAAATTTTAAATTAGTTCTGATTTAAAATCCCAGCTTTACCAAGTACTATGTGTCTGCAAATAAATGGTTTCACGTCTCAGTTTCTCCGTCTTTAAAATAGGCATAACAACCCTGACTCACAGGATTAGAAATAACGTATGTGTAAACGTAGCAAAGCGTTCCCTGAATGTTAGCTGTTAACATTAGTATTTGTGTATTTGTATCCACACCTGCTCTTTCTGACCGCGGTGCTGGGGCTGTCTGGCGTACTCCGTGAGTGCATGCGTCCGGGTGTTTTTGATTTGGGTGATTTCTGCTGGGAGTGTGTGTCTCTGGATGTCTTTTGGTTTTCTGTGTGTGTGTGATTGTTGGTGTCTGGGCTGGAGTTTGGGAGGGGGCTTTTTTTCTTGCCAGTTGGGGGCCTGCCTTGGAGGCGGAGGAAGGGAGGGGTGTGTGTGTGTGTGTGTGTGTGTGTGTGTGTGTGTGTGTGTGTCAAGGCTGGAAGCTGGACTGCTGACTGTACAGGGTGTGAAATCACTGAGTTCCTCTGGGCAGGGAAGTTCTTCGTTCCTGAGTCAGCCCTTTGGCCTCTAGCCACCCAGCGCTCACTTTTTCCTTTCAGAGAAAGTATTGCTCACGGGGTCCCCAGAGCATCTGAGACAAAATGGCACAGGGAGCACCTCTCCCTGCTGAAAACCTCTACTTTTGTGTCCTCAATCCCTAAGATGCTCCCTCCACCCTTGGCCCCTGAAGCTCCTTTCCAGAACCTCCACGGGCCCTGGCATTCAGAGGGAAACTGTGTCCTCTTTAACACCGGGCCTGCCACCTTTGCTGGACCCCATCTCGGCCCAATACCCCAGGTCCTTGGGAAACGAGTGCAGTGCCAGATCCAGGCTTTGGACTGGGGCATCTTGCCCCCAGGACCCCGGCCCAACCTTGGACTCCACTGCCTGGCCCTGACCCTGGGTGCAGGGGAGGGCTCTGCTCAGAAGCTCGGGGAAAGAGTCCTTTTGTCCTTTTGCCCTCTGCCACCTTGGCTCTATCTCGGGGTGCTGAGAGGATTCCCTTTGGGGATCCAGGGAAGGGAAGCTTTCAGCTGCTTTCCTCGGGAGAATAGAAGATGTCCCGCCTCCCACTGACATCTGCTGTCTGTCTCCCCTCTGGTCCCTCTCTTGTAGAGGTTGTGGGCCACACGCAGGGACCCCTGGATGGGAGCCTGTACGCCAAGGTGAAGAAGAAGGACTCCCTGCACGGCAGCACCGGGGCCGTCAACGCCACGCAGCCCACTCTGTCGGCTACCCCCAACCACGTGGAGCACACCCTCTCCGTGAGCAGCGACTCGGGCAACTCCACAGCCTCCACCAAGACAGACAAGACCGATGAGCCTGCCCCCGGCCCCTCCAGTGCCCCTGCTTCCCTGAGTCCCAAGGAGAAGCGTGAGCTGGACCGCCTGCTCAGTGGCTTTGGCTTGGAGCGAGAGAAGCAAGGCACCATGTACCACACACAGCATCTCCGGTCCCGCCTGGCGGGGGGCCCTGCTGCGCCCTCCTCTGGCCGCCATGTCGTCCCGGCCCAGGTTCACGTCAATGGCAGGGCCTTGGCATCTGAGCGGGAGACAGACATCCTGGATGATGAGCTGCCCAACCAGGATGGGCACAGTGTGGGCAGCATGGGCACACTGTCCTCCCTGGATGGGGTCACTAACACCAGTGAGGGGGGCTACCCAGAGGCCCTGTCTCCACTGACCAACGGTCTGGACAAGCCCTACCCTGTGGAACCTATAGTCAATGGCGGGGGATACCCCTATGAGTCTGCCAGACGGGCAGTGCCTGCCCAAGCTGGCCACCCTGCCCCCATGCGACCCTCCTACTCTGCACAGGAGAGTTTAGCTGGCTACCAGCAGGAGGGGCCCCACCCAGCCTGGCCACAGTCAATGACCACCTCCCACTATGGCCATGACCCCAGTGGTATGTTCCGCTCTCAGTCCTTTCCGGAAACCAAGCCCCAGCTGCCCCCAGCTCCAGCCCGGGGCGGGAGCAGCCGGGAGGCTGTGCAGAGGGGCCTGAATTCCTGGCAGCCTCACCCACCTCCTCGCCAGCAGGAAAGAGCCCACTTGGAGAGCTTCGGGCTCAGCAGGCCCAGTCCCCAGCCATTGGCAGAGCCCCCCATGCCTGGCCTTCCCGAGTTCCCGCGGGCGGCCTCCCAGCAGGAGATCGAGCAGTCCATCGAAGCCCTCAATATGCTGATGCTGGATCTGGAGCCAGCCACGGCAGCCGCCCCACTGCACAAGTCCCAGAGTGTCCCTGGGGCCTGGCCCGGCGCTTCCCCGCTCTCCTCCCAGCCCCTCTCTGGCTCTTCCTCCCAGTCCCATCCACTGACCCAGTCCAGATCTGGCTACATCCCCAGTGGGCATTCCTTGGGCACCCCTGAGCCTGCTCCCCGGGCCTCCCTGGAGTCTGTCCCTCCTGGCAGGCCTTACTCACCTTATGATTATCAGCCGTGTCTAACGGGGCCCAACCAGAGTTACCGTACAAAGAGCCCAGCTGCCTCCTCCTCGTCTGCCTTCCTTCCAAACACCCAGAGCTCTCCGGGGCCTCAGCTGCCCCCAGTCTCTCTCCCTGGCCTCACCACTCAGCCTCAGCTTCCACCGAAGGAGGTGACTTCAGACCCATCCCGAACCCCAGAGGAGGAGCCATTGAACCTGGAGGGGCTTGTGGCCCACCGGGTAGCAGGTAAGAGCCTCAGGGGCCATGAGTTCTGGGTATCCCCTCCTTATTCCCTCCACACCTTCCCTCTCTGGTCGTGGCTGGTTTTGCTGGAGCGAGGTGCAGGCCCAGCCATCACGCCTTAGCGGGTGCTGCTTTGGCCTGGGGAAGAGGCTGTCAGGAGCCCACATGACAGCCATCCCTTCCTGCATTCATTGCCTGTTAGGCTCCAAGCCAGACACTGAGGTTCAAAGATCAGGAATTTTCGTTCTAGTGAGGGAGCTGGTACACAGACAGATAATTCTAACAGAGAGCAATGTGTACTACAACAGAAGTGGGGAACAAAGCCCCAGAGCCTGGGAAAGCAAGGTTTCCCACCTAGGGCAATCAGGGAAAGCTTCCTGGAGGTGGTGACTCCAGGGCTGGAGTACAAATTTTCTAGGCAGAGAGGAGATGCTCTCTGCAGCTGCCTGCAGTGGGGAAGGCCTGGAAAAGGTTGGAGGGAGGCCTCTGTGGACTCCAGTTCCCTTTTGAGCCCTCCCAGAGGCGCAGCAATGCCTGAGAGGGTGTCCTGAAGCCCTTGGGCTCCATCTGAGTGTTCAACCCTGGTGTGTCCTTTCAGGATATTTCTCCGTTTCTGGGGAGGCCAAGGTCCATCTTCTTGTTCAGCTGTCCTGCTAGTCCTTGCTTTAGGACCAGCTCTGTACGGGAAGCAGGCACTGAGAAACAGAGCCCCATTTCCTATCAGAGAATGGACTTATTATCCTCCAGAGAGAGGAGACAGAGTGGGGCAACCAGATGAGCTTACTGGGGAGATAAAGGCAAGAAATGGCAGAGTGTCCAGGGCCATGTTGGGAGGGGCAGGAAGGGCTCCCTTCCTTCCCTCTGGCCTAAGCCTGTGACCATTCCATGGGGGCAGCCAAACTGGGCGGGAAATCCTGTGAGTTGGTTTTATTGTGGAGGTGAAGCCCAGACCAGGGTGGACCAGAGCCTGGGGCGAGGGGGACCTTGTGCCAAGCCCCTCAGCTGACAGGGTGGTGGGTAGTCAGGGAGCAGAAGGGGAGCCTGGGCAGCTGACTCTGCCTTCTGTCCCTTTTCCTAAATTTAGGGGAAGCTGAGTCACCATGCCAGCTACAGGGAGGAAGGGAGACACCGTCCCTGAGGATGGATGATGGGTTTAGGGAAGTAGCTGGGGCCAGGCCAGTTGGCTGTTGGGTTTGAGTCCAGGACCTGGTGTGGCGGCATGGACTCCCTGCTCCTGTATTTCAGAGCAGAGCACAGCCCCCAGTTCAACTATTGGTAACTTGAAATTGGCCATAATGGCAGTATTCACACTATGGAAATTGGCAATCAAGGACTTCACCTGCCCTGGTAGCATCACATCATTGTCTTTACCCAAGAGTCAAAACATAAGATGAGTAGCTCTATAACCCGAGGGGTGAAATGCTCCATGGGGGTCCCCGTGGGGCTGGTGTCTTCTACTTTTGTCTACATCTGGGCCCATGAGATAAGGAGTACCTGGCTTGTCAGCAGAAACCATTTTCCTCCTGGTTTTGTTGAAGGGAGAGGAATGGGCCCTCTCAATATTTTACAGAGTTGGGGTGGTGGCCTGAGGAATAGTGACACTCTAATAATGGGCAGGATCCAAGGGGCTTTTCTCTGGGGGAGCAGGATGAGTTCCCTCCTTTTCACAGAACCCTCTGTATAGCTCTCCCAGAGCTTGCTCAGAAGGAAGCCATACTTTAATGGCCCTAGAAGGATGTCCATCTTGTAGTGGCTTTCACCTCATCCTTTTCTCTCCTACCAGTTTCTGAGGTCTTGCTTCTCAACCTCCATATCCTGTAGCTGCTCAGGTTTTGGCTGCCAAGAAGTCATATGGAGGGAGGGATATTGTTGGCACAGTACCTGTGTCCTCCAACCCTGCTGTCATCTCCTCCACCAACTGTGAGTGACTCAGTCAGGAGAAGGGATAAGATGTGTAGAGGGGACAGTTATATTTGGTCTCCAGGGCTACAGAGGACCTCTTGGGTCCATGCCCTGTCATGAACAGTATTTCTTATGTCAGCAGGCCCTGCTTGCACAACTTCTTCAGTAGCCCTATCCGCAGTGCTTGTGTAGATAAAGATGCACCGGCAGGATTAATTTGTAGAACAGTCTAGGAGCCAAGGGATAGACTTTCAGCACTGCCTTTTTCTTCTCATTTTACATTCTTCTGCAAGAAGCTGGAATGTAAGCTTCAACATGAGTAACCTCAGATCTGAGGGAGAACCTCTATATGGTCATCAGTATGATCTGGTTTCTCCTGGCCTTTCTCCCTCAAGTCTGCTTTTTTTCCTTGGCTGTCAACTGAGGCTGTTATACCTCAGTTCTATGTCCTTGGTTCATCCCACTTTGATCCAACTACTCCTTACGTCTTATTTCAGCTTAGCACTCAGAGTATGTAGGGTTAGTTTTCTTAACTTGACAAAGGGTAGGTACTGTAGCACATGTCACACTTTCTCGTGAAACATTAGAATTAGAAGCATTCCCATTACACCAGGGACAAAATAAAGATGCCTGTTATCACCACTATCATTTAACATTGTACTGGATATCCCAGCCAGTGCAACAAGACAAGAAAAGGAAATAAGAGTCATAGTTGTTGAGTCCAATCAAGTTATCTTATGATCCTGATTCTGTGACTGTACTGATCTCAGGTGTCTCTAGAGGTAGAGATTTCAATGCATATTGGAAATCAGAAGTTGATCTTATCCTTAAGGAGTCTAGAGTTTAGAAAGGGGAAAAAGAACTGGAACTTTAAAATGAAGTTATTTGTAATAAGAGAGGTATGAAGAAAGTTCTGTGGGAATGAAGAAAAAGGGAAGCTCACTGTCAGCTGGAGAGATTGGGGAGGCTCTTTGTTGAGTGTGGCTTTTACAGAGCCTTGGAAGATGCGTAGGACTTTGAAAATGGTGAGGTCATTGGAGAGAGAGGGCTCATAATGAAGACAGGAAAACTTAAGTCATGTTTGAAGAATAGAGTGGATTGAGAGCATATAGGCTATGTGAGAGAGCGTCAAGAAAGGTAGCCTGGGGCCTGCGTCTGTTTGGTTGTAATACCAGACTAAGGAGCCTGAATCTTACCTAGTGGCAGTGTAGGAAGCCATTACTGTGTTTAGGAGAGGATGCCATGATCAGGGCTGTAGTTTAGGAAGATGTATCTGGTGGGTCTGGGCAGAAAGGATACAAAAAGGGAGAGACTTTGAGCTGGGAGATGCTAGGAGCTTATTAGCTAACCTAGGTGATGGGGGCTGAGTTAGGGTGCTGACCATGGAAATGAAAAAGAAGAGATGGGTGCCAAGGATGCTGTGGTGGGATGAGAACTGATGCATTTACAAGTTGATTGGATGTAGTAGGTGAAGAAGAGGAAGACATCAAAGATAATTCTGAGGCTGCATGAATAGAAACAGAATGATGGTTCCATTAATAAGCCAGAAGTTAGCAGGAGGAGCAGGTCTGGTGTAAGATGAAGACCTCAGTGTTAGATATGTTGAATTTGAGTGACAGTGGAGCCTCCAGGTAGAGATGTATGGAAGGCAATCAGACATCCAGAATTGGAGCTCAAAAGAGTGGAAAGAGCTATAGATTTGGGAGTCATTCTCACAAAGATAAAGGTTAAAGCTTTGGGCATGGATGAGATCTCGATATGTCAGAGGGCATGGAGAGAAAAGAACTTAGAATGAAATGGCCACGAGGGAATGGAGGTCCTACGGGGGACTAAGAACAAATGTTCAGGACAGAGAGAGGACACTAGGACAGCTGGTCATCACAGAAGTCAGAATAGTAAAGGGTTTCCAGGAGGAGGGGTGGGAGGTTAGCAATATCACTGTGGAGAGAGCATGACAAGGACTCAGGAAAATTCACTGGGCTTTTGCCAATTAGGTGGCCCCAGTGATTTTCAAAGGCATATTTTCAATAGAGTGGTGGTGACAGAAACCAGACAGGGATTGAGGAGTGAGAGATGAGAGGGTGCAGACAGCATATCAACCACTCTTTTGAGTGGCTTTGTGATAAAAGGGAAGAGGGTGGTAGCTAAAGAGGGTAGCAAGATACTGAGAACTTCTTTCTGTGAATATAGGAGCCATGAGAATGTTTTTAGAGGGGGAGGAGAGAGAGGTTGAATATGGAGGGAAGAGGGAGAAGAAAAAGATAGAAGAGAAAGAAATTGATAGAATAGGTCTCTAAGGAGGTAAGGGGAGTTAGGCTTAGGAACCCAGGTGGATAATTTAGCCTCAACCAGGAGGTGAGGTACCTCTTCATGAAATAAGAATAGAGGTTGGATACAGATATAGGGAGATATTGGTGTCAAGCCTTGGGAGCTTGAATTGAGAACCCAATTTTTATATTTCATCATGGAAATAGGAGATGAGATCAAGGCCCATTCCATCATTCATTCAATGTGTGCTCTTAATCTATGCTACATGCTAGCCTAGGTTCTGGAAAAATGGTGGTAAACAAAAGAGATAAAGATCCTTTTTTTAAGAGGTGGAAATGGACAATAAACAAATAAGCAAATATACATATAATATGTCAGATGGGTGATAAGTGCCATAGAGATAAAATAAAGCAGTGAAATGCCAATGAGGGGTGAAGGGTTGTGGGGGGTGGTGGTAGGATGGTCAGGGAAAAGGCTTCCCTGGGCAGGGAGGGAATGTGCCAGATGGAATAGCAAGTGCAAAGGTCCTGAGGTGGGAATGTGCCTGATATGGGGAAAGTAGGGGGCCCGAAATCAGAGAGGGAATGAGAATGGGGACCAGCTTTCTGTGGGCCTTGTAGGTGATCATAAGACCTCTGGCTTATACTCTGCATGGTGTGAGAAGCCTTAGGAAGGATTTGGGCAGAGGAGTGACATCACCTGACTTGTTCTAAAAACATCAGTGTGGCCAGGATGGACGGAGGGAGACCAGTTAGGAGGCTGGTGCTTTTGATCAGGATGGTATCTGGAGATGGTGAGACATACTCAGATTGTAGACGTATTTTGGAGGTGTC